TATTAAATTATAAATAATAAACTATTTCATTTACATTCAAGTTAATATCGATCCGTAAGTTATGAATAATTACTTATATAGCTTTTAAATTTGAAACTTAAATTTGGACTACACAGTAAATTTTCTTTTTTGTGTGTGTGTGTGTATATATATATACACACACACACACACTTACACACAAGCGCAACTCGTACGGTGCACTAATTGATAATAAGTTATATTATATTCCTTTCAAAATAAGTGTCATTATGATTTTTTTTCTGAAATTAAAAGAAATATTTTGGTAAAATTTTATCGTATATTTAAATATCTATATAAATAATAAGTACAATTATATAACTTATATTGTTTAGTTAATTAAAAGAAATTTATTTTTGTATAAAGTATCCAAATCAAAATTTAAGCAGTTGTATTATTTAATAAATTATAAATTTCCATTTACGTTGAACTATAAATGTAGTAGTGAATGATTTTATTTTTATTTATACTAATAAATTAAGAAGAAAAATATAAATTTTGATGAATAGTAGAATTTATAGGAAAAATCATACCCTATTGTAGATTTGATAGTTAAAAGTAAAATCACCTTGGTAGATGAAATGAAAATAAATTGCAGGTTATGTTACATATGTACATTAAAGTATTATAAGTTAGTATAAATCCTTTGATATTTACCAACATAATAAATTCTTTGCTATTTACCAATGAAATGATCTGTTGTTAAGACAACACGATATTTATTTTGAATTTGTTTAAATTTTTTTAAACTAATTACATAACTAAATAATTTTAAGGTATATTAAATATTTCTCATTATATATATACATACATACATAAAGAATTTTATTTTTCTAAGTGTTATAATAATAATAATAATGTCATTATACGACAAAGAATTTTGAAAATAATGGTTGAGTATTATTTTTAACAAATATAAGTAAAATTATTATTTTGTTTATGTCAAAAAATAAATATAGAAATCGTTTGCTAATACAATATTAAAAGTGTTTGTTGCTATTTGTCAACGAAAAAATTCCGTTGCTATTT